CCCTGGGCCTCCAAGTAAGGCCCTAAGGACTCAGAGTCTAAGGCCGTTTTTGGGGCCCAAAGACCCTATTATGTAAGGCTTCTGGGCTATTTTGATGCTAAACCCTAAACCCTAAAGCGGTTGCGGCATTCGGGACCAGATTCGGCCTGGACGCAAACCTTCATCCCCAAATCTTGCAGCCTACATGCGAAACCGTACAGCCTGAACTTTCAGGGTGCAGCCGATCCTCTTGCATGCAGCTTTCGCCATCGCAGGCGACAGTGCATAGTCAGTGAAACCACGAAGTGCGCGTAAAAATACGAACAGGCCCAAAGGCTCGCGCTGGCTGGCCCAGTTCGACTTGAAGCTTTTCCAGGAATCGGACATGCTTTTATGCGCACACTGGTCAAGAGGACATAAAGCGCGGGTGGAATAGCCTGGAAGGAAGAACAAACGAATGCCCTAGCGAAGACAAACACGCATCAGGTCTTTGCTGAGGTGGAGGAGGCACCCTCCTCCAGTGTCTAATATGAGTGCCAGCTTCTGCTCATACGGTATCTTGTGAACTTCACGAGCCACACGACCGTAGCACTCTTGCACAAAGTACACGAACAAATGTGAAGAGTTTGATCCACTCGGATGCACCCAGAAGTGAGCATCGGGGCAAGCTGTACTCATATCCTTGTGCACCTTCTTTGTCGGGGCCACAACCCCTAACGGATAGCGAGCAGCACCCAAGAGCATGAAGGAGCTCACTGTCACATGGGACCATGAGCACCCCTAAATCCTAAACCCTAATCCCTAAACCCTAATCCCTGAACCCTAATCACGAAAACCTAAACCCCTAAACCCTAATCCCGAACCCCTAAACCCTAACCCCGAAACCCCCAGGAGGTAGAGATTTGCTGGTGGAGCTTAAGGGTTACCGGCGGTTTAGGGTTTAGGGTTTGGCCTTTCTGCAGGTTTACTACTGTAGAGGCCTTTACGCTGGGGCTTGGCAAGGAGGGTGTAGATGAGCTTGTAAGTAGGTTGTGAAGGGTTTAGGATTTAGGGTTTAGGATTTAGGGTTTAGGGTTTAGGGTTTAGGAGGGTGTAGCTGAGCTTGCAAGTAGGCTGCGAAGATTGCCCATGCTGAGGATAGCTAAAGTCCGCTCCATAGGCTAACTAGTCACCCTTGTTCTGGTATTCATTGCCATGGCCTCATTATACAAGCCCTTTAAGAAGTAGCTTTTCTGTGATCGGGGGAACCCAAAACCCTAAACCCGAACCCCTAAACCCTAAACCCTAATCCCTAAACCCAGACCTTAAACCTTAAACCCTCAACCCGAATCCTTAAACCTAAACCCTTATCCCTAAACCCAAAGCTCTAAACCCAAAAGGCTGAGATTGTAGGAGTTGGGAGAGTCAAGGTGATCTAGGCTCAGGTTCCGCGGAGCCCAGAGGCACACGAAACGAAGATATGGCTTAGTTGGGTTTAGGGTTTCTGGGCTTCAGGGTTTAGGGTTTCGGGTTTAGGGCTTAGCTTGAGTTTAGGGTTTCTGGGCTTCAGGGCTTAGGGTGTAAGCTTTTCGGATTTGGGGGGCACAAGAAACACACCCCGCATGGAAAGCTGTGTTTCCTAGGCCCTGCACTCTCAGCACTGCACATTAGCCAATGCAGACTTGCAACACCTCCCCTAAACCGCAAACCCTAAACCCCTAAAGCAATAAACCATACACAACTCTTGGTTGGCATTCTGAATGCAAAGGCCGGGCCAAACCCGTACCTTCCCAATAAACCACAGAAGTGAAGGGTTGATCTTACTACTGTACCAAGCCCTAATCATAGGGTTTAGGGGTTTAGGGGTTTAGGGATTAGGGATTAGGGCTTTAGGGGTTTAGGGTTTTAGGGTTTTAGCTATTAGGGTTTAGGGATTTATGGTGCAGGGTTTACGGCTTTAGGGGTTTAGGGCTTTAGGGTTTTAGTTATTAGGGCTTTAGGGGTTTTAGAGGTTTAGGGGTTTAGGGTACAAACCCTAAACCCTAAACCCTAAACCCTAAACCTTAAACCCCAGCCCCTCAAAAACCGAGACCTTCCCAAACCCCTAACCCAACAAGTGTAAAGGCTGGGCATTGGAGAACTGAGCCTAATATGGGGTTTAGGGTTTAGGGCTTAGGGTTTAGGGTTTAGGGTTTGGGCATTGGAGAACTGAGCCTAATATGGGGATTTCCAAAAATAGGGGACCCTAATATAATACTCTAAATAGTAGGGTCCTTATTATAAGGACCCCAGAATAAGGTACCCTAATATTCGGAAACCCCCATATAACAGGGGTTTGGGTTAAGGGGTTAGGGTTAAGGGTTTAGGGTTTAGGGAACGAAGCTGAGACCGGGCGGAGTGGGGGGTCTAGTTCTTGAGTGGAGCCTAAACTCCATTCCGCTAGGATGGAAATCAATAGACGGATTTTTAGAGATGCCTGTGAAGAAACCAAAACGCCAAACAACATGCAACACGGCTTAACAGTAATCAACAGCATTGTAGCTAGACCTGGGGACTTAAAACAAAAACATCCTTAGATGGGGTCTTTGAAATCGACACAACGAAGTCCTCTCCACACCGAAGGGCTGTAGAAAAGCAAGATCAGCAGCAGGAGGGTCCAGAACAAAGACCTTCGCTGTCGAGTTTTCCCCAGTATACCCTTCTTCTTAACTATTTGGTTTTTGCCCAAGAAAGGTTAACCTTTACATTATAGTCGGATTATATAAGCCCTAAAAGGTTAAAGGTTACCTCCTCGATCCCTAAATTTTAGCAAGGAACCCAACAAGACAAAGGGCAGAAGGGGTACTACTGGGGAACCTCCCTAAGCCCTAAACCCTAAACCCTAGATACCCAGAGAACCCGATATAATTAAGGAATATACCTTAAATCGTAATATTAGGGCCCCCAGAATTTAGGGTATTTTTTTAATTGAGGGGTATTGGGCTCTCTGGGTAAATCATCCAGAAAGACCCGGAAAGGTCTTGGCTTACGGCTTCAACTAAGACGAACTCCATTTTCTTTGGGATCACGATTAAGACAAACCCCAAACCCTTACTGACCACAATGATCAGAACCTGGAATAAAGATTATGGGTCGGGATGGTGTTGGGCTGGGTTTAGGAAAAAGCTGAGGTGGTTCAGGGCGCAGAGTTTTTACAGACACTGCCTGAGCCACCCCCAAAACCTACCTTTTTAGGGCTCCTTATCATGGTTTCAATGGGTGTATGGGGGTTTAGCTGCACATCCTACACACTTGCGGTAAGCACCGCAACCCTGAAAAGCAGAACGCTCTAGCCTGCAGACGTAAAGCCCTGCACTCTGGACCTCCGATCACTATCGAATCGCTTTCAGGGTCTAGCAGTTCCAGAAGATAAGGCACCCTCAAGGGACTAAAGGAGGGACCCTTAAAGGGACCCTTGGGGTTACATAGGGGCTTAATGAGACTATATATACGGGGTATATAAGGGTTATATAGGGTATTAACATTAGGGGTCCCTTCTAGGACCCTAAAACTGCAAACTGAAACCGTATGCCGAGAGGATATGAGGGCCTGGATGAGGAGCCCCTAATTGGTTTAGGGTTTAGGGGTTTAGGGTTTAGGGTTTAGGGTTTAGGGTGGTTTAGGGTTTAGGGTTTAGGGGTTTGGGGTTTAGGGTTTAGGGTTTAGGGTTTCTCTGAAAGCCCAACTTACTTGTCCAGCATCCTAGGGCCACCCCAAAAATAAAAAAGGATGCCTACTCTACTACCAGGCCTACATGTGTCCTCTTTGTCGATCCTCAAAACTATGCCCAACTGCCCTGAACTCGAACCTGTAAATCCTGCATTGTAAACTACATGTTGACGCTGATTTTTGAATACTGGTAATCTTACCCTGAGCCCTAAACCCCAAATAGTTTAATGCCTCGCTGA